AATATTTCATAATAATTAGATATATAAAAATTGTAGATAGCATTAGAAGGCAATATTAATCAATCTAAATTTAGCAAACAATATAAATCAATATTAGACATCAAATAAGTTTATATTTTGAATCAAAACTTGAGTTACTGGATGTAAAATAGAATAGAATCACATTAGCAAACGAGTAAAATGAATTTTCCATTTCACGAAGTTCACTTAGAAAAAATATAAATGTAGTATAATTCTTGAATATTTGAAGTTTAACAAATGACTTCTGGAAATTCAAAAACTACACAAATTTCAAAAAGTAAATGGAAAAAGGAGAATTAATTACTCAAACCTGCCTAAAGGTAAAGAATGTGACAGATTCAAAATTAAAACATGCACCTCATTTTTGAAATTATAATTATAAAATTATAATTATTTTTGAAATTATATAATTTGAATATTTCTTTATAAGTATGCAGCATTTTTAAAAATCCTAAAAATATCTGCTCCATCAGTTTATCTTTTAAAAGTAATTTCCATCACTTATAATATTGAATAGAGAAGCGTCATTAATTATTCTGTTCCCATTATATATTTGACCATTGTTGTCGAATATTAATCTTTCGATGCGATAATGTTAAATTTAATTGTATAGGATGTTATGCTATATATTTCCGTAAGTCAATCTTTGACTAAAATTAATCTAATGATAAAGACTAATATATCTAGCTTCACGTTCCTATATTAGCTATCAATATTCAGTGTTAAAAAATTGAATTCAAATGCAAGAAACAATTTCAGTTAATAGCCATTAAGGTACCAGATGGCACAATTTTGAAATTTTTAATTAAAATTTTTTTACTTGGATTTACTTATGCATTATGCACTAAAACAGATATGAATACAAAAAAATGTGAAAAAAACTAAGTTACTTGGTAAATTGTCAAACATTTACCATTTACATTAAAAAGTAACATTTAAAACTAGTCAAAAAAGACATAAATTCGACCTCTTTTCAAAATAACATAGCTTTATTCAAATTCGTTATATTTTTTAAAATTATTTTTACTTTATAATACTCATAAATACTCATGTTTAGGATTAGACCATGCATTAGACATAATATTAATATTTAGATATTTCAAAGCAAATATCGAAATTTATTTGGTAAAAAAGGTCAAAAATTGCAGTTAGTTATTTTTATTTTAGCTCTAAAAGGTAAAATAATAATTTTATTCAACTTGTCCGTAGTCTATTCCGTAGACATATGTATAGAAAACATTCTTGAAAAATTTCAAATTTGAACTAAAAAAATTTAAAGCATTACATATAAATTAAGGAAAATAACAAAAAAAAGGTTTTGTAGAAAAGGACAAAAAAGGCACAATTATCAATGCAATGACCAAAATAAATTATTTAAATCGTCGTAACTTATCTTTGATTTGACGTATAAACAAAACTGGAACTGTTTTAAAAGAAAGAAATTTCATAGTTTTACATAACATAAAATAACAGAAAAATGTGTTTAGTTGGGTACCTTAAATTACGCATCTAATTTATGGTCAAATATTCAACTATTTATCATTGTTTTTTTAACTAATCAAAATTAAAAACAATTTTTCTTCTATTCTACAAAAACGAGTAAATAATAATTGGAAATTTAATTTGACAATCAGTTCTTCAAATTTGGATTCGATCAGCATAAATGTTTAACGCTTTTTGCTACTCTTTTGCTAAATATGCGACCACAGATTAATAACATGAAATTGTTTTCATAAAGTGTCATCAAACGAAACTCTTATGATTTTTTATATCATCACTCTGCAACGAAAATGCTTAGGAAATAGTAAAAACTATTACTTCTCGTTTATTGATCTCCATTTTCAAAGTAATGGAAAATCATTTGTTTGAACGTTTTACAAATCTTGAGATTCTTCCCTTCTTTCTAATAAAAATTTATTAAATGCAAGAGTATGTACCTCATCGTTTATTTTAATGCGGTTATTATTTCTAGAGTACAGCTGCTCTTAAGTGGTACTTCAGTTAAATTGGCATTCAATTAATTTTTCTGCGATACTTTCACCAAGTTTTTGAATTATGTACTTTAATTGTTTTGAAAGATCTAAAAAATTTTTAAATACGTTCAAATTATGGGAGGAAATCATGTAAAAAAAAAACTGAACTTCTTGAAAAAAAAATTTTTTTAAATCTTAAGATATTTTGTGTTAAATTGATAATTAGTTAACCATTATGAAATAAAAAAAAACTTCATAAACCAATACCGATTGAATAATGTTTCACTCACTAATTAATATTTCTGAACAATAATAGATTTTACCTGCAGTATTTTTTCAATTTGAATTCATTTCAGTCTATGTCGCATTTTTTAGCCTCTAAAGTGCATCCAGATGGATATTATTTCAATAATTTGATGAAATGTTTTGTTTTTAAGTCAATTTCAACAAATTTGATTAATTTTCATTTAAAGAAGCGTTGGTAACAAAATTATTAAGTAAAAAGTATCGAATCTAATACTAAAATATTCCTGCAACAGCCAATTGTTAGCCAAGGGGCACATGGAAGTAAAAGTTCGCAATTAAGTTTTCACGATCAAAAATGACTATGTAAGGAAAGCCAAGCAATTGTGTCACCGGTCAAACGGTGTAGAGCATGTCACGTTGGTTTCCTTCCTTCCATAATTCTAAACCACAACCAGCCAGAGGACTTAGAATGCACTTTGCTGCTTATAAACGCCGGTTGTTCGGTTGACTGCGTGGATCGAACTTAGGACCCTCAGCTATCACGACCTAACGGAGTGATTGATGGTTTTAATAACTGTCCCGCCGCAGCGCCGGCCTCAAAGACATGCACAAAGCATTATTCTGAGCCACTATCATATATCACTGTACATATATTAACACAAATAATTCATTTAGAAATGTGATATGGGACACGAATCATTACCTTAAATCTATGCAAAGGCATCTCAAAATTTATAAACAATAAATTATACACTTAAATTAAACGACAAGAATATTATTTTGAAATGTACAGATCGTCTCAATTTGAACTTTTTCTATGTGATCCATGCTCGCACATTTCCGATATAAAGGAACGCTGGGGGAAAGTAATACATCTTCAATATTGATTCCATACAAGTCATAGCTTTTATGTAACGAGGAATTCTTCCTCCACTTTGCTTGGAATCAAATAATAAGATTCTAAAATGAGTAAAATATTTTTTTCCTTGAAAATCATTCAAAAATTAAGCGCAACTTATGCATTTATACAAGTTTTTTTTTCAGATACCCAGAGGTAAAAAAGCATCTTGAATATTTATTTCCATATAAGTTGTAACTTTTATGTAATTATAAATGTTTTCGTAACTTGTTTAAAACCAAACAAAGAGTCTTTACGTATAAAACTAAAATTAATAGCAATTTCGCATTTTTACCTTTTCTTTCGTACTTAGGAAAATAATGCATCCTCAATATTAATGCATACTCAATAATTAAAGTTGAAAGATTTTTAAAATGCTGGATTATTTCACATCTTATTTGGAATCAGAAAATAAGATTTCAAAATGTATGAAATATATAATACTTTAAATATGAAACTTATAAGCGCAGTTTCTGCATTGTTTGTAACTTTCTGTTCAACTATTTCTGCTGTAAGCTTCAAAAGTAGAGTGTCCCACCTATAGAAAACCTTCCTACAGCCAATTCACCAAGTTACTACGCAAGCTAATTTTATAATTATTTAAGTAAATTATAATTTTGATATATTGCTGTCAGCAATTTATCAGGAATTGCTTCATGCTTCCTGCATTTTTTTTAAATTTAAACCATTCCATTACGTTTATGCCATTTTTGCAATTTACTCAACCTTAAAACTTAGGTATTGCCTTGATAGCGTCTGTTTTTGTGTTTAAAATACTACCGAATTGCATTAACTGTCATAGATTTTTCCAGCCTTGGTTTTGACAACTGACACGTTGATGTAAGCTTTACTTTGCAGTATGGATGGTAGTTACAAGCAGCTGCTTCATCCCATTAACGTTTATGCTATTAAGCCATTTCATTAACGTTTATGCCATTTTTGTAACTTACTCAACCTAAAAACTTAGGTATTGCCTTGATAGCTTCTGCTTCTGTGTTTAAAATACAACCGAATTGCATTAACTGCCAGAGCTTTTTCCAGCATTGTTTTTGACAACTGACACGTTGAAGTAAGCTTGCAAATATGTTGATGTAAGCTTTACTTTGCAGTATGGATGGTAGTTGCAAGCAGCTGCTTCATCCCATTAACGTTTATGCCATTAAACCATTCCATTAACGTTTATGCTTTTTCTGCTACTTACTCAGCCTAAAAACTTAGGAATTGCCTTGATAGCCTCTGCTTCTGTATTTGAAATACTACCGAATTGCATTAACTGCCAGAGCTTTTTCCAGCATTGTTTTTGACAACTGACACGTTGAAGTAAGTTTACAAATATGTTGATGTAAGCTTTACTTTGCAGTATGGATGGTAGTTGCAAGCAGCTGCTTCATCCCATTAAAGTTTATGCCATTAAACCATTCCATTAACGTTTATGCTTTTTCTGCAACTTACTCAACCTAAAAACTTAGGTATTGCCTTGGTAGCTCCTGCTTCTGTGTTTAAAATACAACCGAATTGCATTAACTGCCAGAGCTTTTTCCAGCATTGTGTTTGACAACTGACACGTTGAAGTAAGCTTGCAAATATGTTGATGTAAGCTTTACTTTGCAGTATGGATGGTAGTTGCAAGCAGCTGCTTCATCCCATTAACGTTCATGCCATTAAACCATTTCATTAACGTTTATGCTATTTTTGCAACTTACTCAACCTAAAAACGTAGGTATTGCCTTGATAGCCTCTGCTTCTGTATTTAAAATACTACCGAATTGCATTAACTGCCAGAGCTTTTTCCAGCATTGCTTTTGATAGCTGACACGTTGAGGTAAGCTTACAAATATGTTTATGTAAGCTTTACTTTGCAGTATGGATGGTAGTTACATGCAGCTGCTCTGGTCTCTATTTGGCGTCATTCCTATCAAAGATCTTGACCAAATGGGTTACCATATGTTTACGAAACGAACTGGGCACTTACTTCTTGGAGCTTACATGGTGACAGCTATGACAGTCATGATTAACATGCTCATTGCTATGATGAGTCGATCTTTTGAAGACATTGAGGTACTTGTAATAGTTTGTGATGGATTTTAAACAGTTTTCCAGTAAGTGTGTCCTATTTTTTTTTCAAAAGCTATTAGCCTGTAAGCTTTAATTATTGGAAAAGATTCTGGTAAAATAACCATTCTGTATGGTAATGATATTTCTGGTAAAAAAAAAGCTTAAATCTGGCTAATAAGACAAAAATATACGGATTTTAAACCATTCATTTGGCGTGTTTTCCGTTCATATGAAAATGGTTTATCGGAAAACCTGGTATTCAAAATTATAATTATTTTCTCCACACATTCAGCTAAAAATATAAACAGATATGGTATGAAAACCATTTAACCGAATAAATGGTTTTTATAGCATCCCTTAAAGACTCATTTCGAAATTACAAAATTTTACTATATTTACCAAATTTGAACCTAGATTATAAAACAATATTTTATTGTTACTTTTACCAAAATCATTACCAAAGCACTTTACACAGTAGGTAATTTTACGCAAAGCAGTAAAAATTACCATGCATTTTGGTGTTCCTGGAGAAACACAGTAAAATTTACCATATTCTGATAGTTTGGACCATACTTTTTTCCTATGTGCTTAAAGATCTTTTACATAACGTGCTATGATTAAAAAAGCTTTGTTAACTGATACCAGAATTGTTTTTCAAATACTTCTAGTGTCTTTTGAATTGGATCTGGACAACTTATTGGAAAACCTTATATTTTAACCAATATTCTAATTAATACCTAAATGTCCAAGAGAACAATACTTAACAAGCAATACTGCTCATTAGGTGGACATGGTACCGACTAATGAGTCTCTTTGTTTCGGGTAGACTTTATCTGTCTCTTATTTTCTACTCACTCAAATCTATATCTATTAATCTATTACTCGAAAGAGACGCCAATTGGCAGCGTAAATGAGTTTAGTTTTCGTATATCTTGCTAATTTTTTTCCTACTAGTCTTTTCAAAATATGTTTGCTTTGTTTGGAACATTTGTTTATATAGAATTTTCGTAAATATAAGATTTATATAACCCCATTCTGAAGTATGGTTTTTATAAATAATTATACGAAGAAAGCAGTTTTGGTTTAAAAAAAACGTAATTCTGGTTAATAAAACCAAAACATACGGTATTTGAACCATTCATTTAGTAATTTTTTCCGTTCATATGGTAATTGTTTACCGGAAATTATGGTATTCAAAATTATAGTTCTTATTGCCACATTTTTAATACAAAATACAAAACTCTTAAGTAAATTCAACCGAATAAATGGGTTTTATGTCATGCTCTAAGTTATCACGATAAAAATACTACATTTTACCACATTTACCATATTTTATTGCATATTATAAAACCATATTTTATTACTAATTTTACCAAAATCATTACTAAAGATCTTCGGTAAAATTTATTGAGCTCTTTAGTGTTCTCATATAGCCAAAAAAAACAGTAAATTTTACCGTATTCTGGTAGTTTAGACTAAAACAATTTTTCCCGTGTAATTTTAAATACAATTCCGTTCAAAATGTGAGCTTTACAATTATCTAATAAAGTTTAAATAAAGTAGCTTGTTTGATTATAATACATAAATTAACACCCTATAAAGGTTGCAGTTATCTTGAACAATATCATGGTACAAAAAAAAATATTCTCCAATACTATTAATAGTGTTTAAATATAATAAGAAATATTAAGGGTTGGATTTGTTATGCAAGAAAAATTATTGGATTTGTTATTTAATATAAGAAATATTAAGGGTTGGATTTGTTATGCAAGAAAATAAAATCACCTATAAAAGTCTTTATAATAAAATTAATGACCACATATTCTTAATTCTGAAAAGTTTTGTTAACGATATCCATAAAATAATAATAAAATACGGCATTCAACTCAAAATCAATACAGCCCTTTCACGTTATTGAAGCTTGGCGTGATTAACGAGCTATAGTGGTTTTCACTGATTCAGTGCTGTGTAGAGAATAGCTATAGATTCGTGCCGGAGTTAATAGAATACAGTAATTTGCTGAATACCTAATTTAACTTAAGTGTATAGCCTTAAACTCATTTCATTAATGTATTATAATTTCAATGAAGTGTATAATTCGGATTTTCCCTTTTTTAACTCCCATCAAGATCTTACACTTCATCATAGATTGGGTTTTTATTATAAATAGTTTAAATCAACGCAAATCCTTGGGATAAAATAATAAATAATTTATATTGCTAATGGTTTACACTGAGAAAAAATTATGGTCAAAACTACTAGAATATGGTGCTACTGGCTCTATGGAAATACTAAAAGGCTCTGGCAAGGATTTTGCTAAAATTAACAATTAAATATTGTTTATAATGTGTGATAAAACTTGATAAATATGGTAAATTATGGTAATTTCATCGCGATACATTAGAGTATGGCATAAATACCATTATTTGGTTACAATTGCTTTTCAGTTTTGCATTTGTTACTAAATGCATTTTAATGAGAACTACAATTTTGAAAACCAGAATTTCCGGTAATCCTTTAACATAGCGAATTGTAAAATTATAGTTTATTTCAGCAGAAATGCGTTTATCAGATAAGTATTTCTATTTTGCCATAATTTATATTTCCGTGTAGAGTTATAATAAATTTAGAATCATCCTTTTGTTTAAATTATTATTGTGCCTGATTTAATAAACTTGACCGATTTTAATAAGGATTGGTCCAAATGAAATTAATAAATATTAATATCCAATTTGAGATTTTTAAAGAGCTTGCACTTATAATTGATTTTAAGGCGTATAACTTTTTTATTTAGGAATATTTATTACTATTTTATTTAAAAATGAGCTCTATCATAACTTTCGCAAATGCATATTTTAATAATATGATACGATGTAAAGAAAAGTGATTATTTCAAAGCTCTGAAAAAAATTATGATAAAACAACTGACAGCAGTCTGTTTCTCCAATTGAGCGTAAAAGTTTATGGTAAAGAACATTTTTTACCTTTCTAGAACATTCTTTACCTTCATCTAGTATGGTTAAAAAACCATGATTACAATATTTTTCGTTTTTTTAACCATTTACAACTAGCATGATTTTAAAACCGTAAAAAAATGCAACTGGATATTGGAGATAGTTTAACAGGTGTATAGTGCTGCCATCTATGAGTAAATGAGAGAATACTTTTCTAATAGACCTGATTCACAAATTAGAGTGTGCAGGTCACTGGAAACTCTTCATGTGTTGAAGGGAAAGGAAGAATTATTGCGGTGTCACCGCTGGGACTTGAAATCCCGCTCTGCCACAGGGCTAANCTTTGCTTGCGATCTCCGAGATCTGTGGACACAGTGACGACATGAGGAGGGAAATCGTAGCTTCAGCTCTAAGAGCGGAGTGAACTAGCCCTTCTATTCTCTTTAGCCCTAGCTCTGCCAGCCATGAGATCACCATATTAGCCCTTTCGGCTACAAAATATAGCCATCTGAAAAAGAAAAAGTAGCTTCATTAGATGGTCCTGGTTGATGCTATAAAATCCTGGTCGTTTGACCGTTTTAAGTGAAAGCAGTTAATAAACAGTTTTTCTCACAATTAACAGTTCGAATACCATTTTATTTGCGGTAATTTGACTGTTTTGTTCTAGTATGGTATAAAGACAATTAATTAAATTGTTATTTAACCTATTTTTTCCTAGAAATTTCTAACGATGTTCAACCTTTATACTGTAAATATCATAAACGGAGTTTATTATCTATCATCATGCATGTTTTTCCCAGTGATTAACACTGACTAAAGAAACTTTGCAGAAGTGTAAAAAAGTTTTTCTATTGTGCTACTTTTTACAATGAGTAACATGAAGAGAAAACCATGTGCAAAGTGCATAAAAGTTGTTCTGCCATGCAACGAAAGTTCTATCTTGTCAAGTTGACCACCTTTGTAAGTTGACTATCTGTCTAAATTGATCGTTGTTTAAAGTGCCAAATTTATCCTTCATGATAAAAAGGAGAAAATTCTTTTAAATCAGATCTTTTGTTTGCCATGTGGGGTCCAGTTTTTGACCAATCCAAAAGTCCAATTTTTTCAGCAATATAATTGAATGCTATTCTAAACCGATTTTTACCTATTTATTACTATTTTTACCTTTATAGCTTTGAAGCATCTAGTATAGTTAAAAACTATAAATACAATATTATACAACTAACTTTGAACCATTTTCCCTAGCATGGTTTCAAAATGATCGAAATACTAGATATAGGAAAAACTAGACGCTTTGCGTTTAGGCAGCTTTATGGTACTGCCTCATTCGTAAATGAGAGTATCTATTCTAATAGTCCAGGGTCACAAATTTGGTAGTGTAGGTCACTGGAAATTCTTCATGTGCTGAAGGGAATGGAAGAGATATTGAGGTGTCAACTCGCTAGATCGAACCCCCGTTCTGTCGTTCAGATTAGTGCTCTCCGCTGAAATATGTATCCTGCTCCAAGAAACTTAGTAGCTTCATTAGGTAGCCTAGTTCGTGCAATAAACTCCTGGTTGCTTAACCGCATTAGGTGAAAGCAGTTAATAAATGCTTTTTTGCTCTTAACAGTTTGAATATCATCTTGCTTATAATTTTTCGACTTTTTCGTATAAACATGGTAAAATAACACTTAATTAAATTGTTATTTAATAACTTTCCCGAAAAATTTTTTAACAGTGCACCTGAGTCACGTTTCTAATTCTATATTCTTGTACAACATTTGTAAGTTATGAAAAAATGAAAAATCAAAATCGAAAAGTTAAGTTTAAATTTTTCTCGTAGAAAACTCGAAAGATTCTTTTAGCTTTGACCTCATAAAACAACAGCTTTGGGCATAACTTACATGAGAAAATATTTTTTTCTCCCTTTTTTAAGAAGGCAAATCAAGTTTTATTTTTACAATTAGTTTCCGCAATCACTTTTTACATAAATGCGTTTTTTGGCAGCACATTGAAGCACCAAATCATCTTTCTTCTTTTAAATGTACATTCTACGGTGAAATAAAA